ATGAACATAACTACCCAACTCATGATTTGGAATTGGCCACGGTAGTGTTTGCATTAAAGCAATGGAGACACTATTTATATGGGGTTAAGTGTGAGGTCTATACGGATCATCGTAGTCTACAGTATGTCTTTACTCAGAAAGATTTGAACTTGAGACAGAGAAGATGGATGGACCTACTGAAGGACTACGACATCACCATTTTGTATCATCCGGGGAAGACGAATGTTGTAGCGGATGCTTTAAGTAGAAAGGCGGGAAGCATGGGAAGTCTAGCTCACTTGCAAGCTTCTAGACGCCCATTGGCTAGAGAAGTTCAGATTCTAGCTAACGACCTTATGAGATTAGAAGTAAATGAGAAGGGAGGATTTTTAGCTCGTGTGGAGGCAAGATCTTCCTTCCTTGACAAGATTAAGGGAAAGCAGTTTAATGATGAAAAATTGATCCGGATCCGAGATAAAGTGTTGCGAGGAGAGGCTAAGGAAGCACAAATCGAAGAGGAAGGTGTTTTGAGGATTAAGGGAAGGGTATGTGTACCCCGCGTCGATGATTTGATCAACACCATTCTGACAGAGGCTCATAGTTCGAGGTATTCAATACATCCGGGTGCAACCAAGATGTACCGTGACCTAAAGCAACACTTTTGGTGGAGTAGAATGAAGCGTGATATTATAGATTTTATTGCCAAATGTCCAAACTGTCAACAAGTAAAGTATGAACACCAAAGGCCCGGAGGAACACTTCAGAGGATGCCCATTCCAGAATGGAAATGGGAGAGAATCGCAATGGACTTCGTGGTTGGTCTTCCAAAGACGATGGGTAAGTACGACTCTATTTGGGTGATTGTTGATAGGTTAACTAAGTCTGCGCATTTTATTCCGGTTAAGGTGACTTACAATGCCGAGAAGTTAGCCAAGATCTGTATCTCAGAAATCGTTCGGTTGCATGGGGTTCCACTATCCATCATATCAGATAGAGGTACGCAGTTTACTTCTAAGTTTTGGAAAACATTGCATGCGGAATTGGATACTAGGTTGGACCTTAGTACTGCGTTTCATCCTCAGACTGATGGTCAGTCTGAGCGAACGATTCAAGTGTTGGAGGATATGCTTCGTGCGTGCGTGATAGAATTTGGTGGCCATTGGGATAGCTTCTTACCCTTAGCGGAATTTCATACAATAATAGCTATCACTCGAGCATTGATATGGCTCCATTTGAAGCATTGTATGGTAGGAGATGTAGGTCCCCCTTTGATTGGTTTGATGCGTTCGAGGTTAGACCTTGGGGTACGGATCTCTTGAGGGATTCGATGGAGAAGGTGAAATCTATTCAAGAAAAGCTTCTAGCGGCGCAAAGTAGACAAAAAGAATATGCAGATCGAAAGGTTAGAGACTTAGAGTTCATGGAGGGAGAACAAGTCTTGCAGAAGGTTTCGCTCATGAAAGGGGTGATGCGGTTTGGAAAAAGGGGTAAGCTAAGTCCAAGGTATATTGGACCATTTGAAGTACTCAAGCGAGTAGGGGAGGTGACTTATGAGTTAGCCTTGCCTCCAAGGCTGTCCGGGGTACATCCGGTATTCCATGTATCGATGTTGAAAAGATACCATGGGGATGGAAACTATATTATCCGTTGGGATTCAGTTTTGCTTGATGGGAATTTGTCCTATGAGAAGGAGCCTGTTGCTAATCTAGATAGAGAAATTCGCAAGTTGAGATCAAGGGAGATTGCATCCATCAAAGTTCAATGGAAGACTCGACCCGTTGAAGAAGCCACTTGGGAGAAGGAGGTTGATGTGTGAGAAAGATATCCACACCTGTTCACAGATTCAGGTACTCATTTTCGCACTTATTCTCCTTCTTGTGATCGTTCGGGGACGAACGATGGGTAAATTGGTATCTTATGTAACAACCTGTTTAGTTGTTTTGAGCAGCAGATTTTATTTCTAGAAAAACAGGCTGAGGCGACGGAACCCACGACGGACCGTCATGGGCACGACGGACCGTCAAGGGTGTCTCATCCCAAAACACTTAAAAATTCTGAAATTTGGGTGTTGAAATCGACTCTCTGAACTCTGTGACGGACCTGCAGGATGGACCGTCACAGGCACGACGAACCGTCATGATCCACCGTTTCAAAACACTTCAACTCTTGAGAATTTGGTACATGGAATGATTCTCTGAACGTCGTGACGGAAGTGCAGGACGGACCGTCGTAGGTACGACGGGCCGTCACAGACTCCTTAAGGAAATAGAGTCTCTGACGAACCTGCATGACGGACCGTCGCAGGCGTGACGGGCCGTCACCGGTTGCGTAATCCCAGTTGAAGTCGGAATTCTGGTTAAGATGCTATAATTATATATTCCGTGGGTCTATATTAATAACTCGATTTCTTGGGGGATAAAAGAGGTAACCTTAAGTTAATTAGTGGGCTATTATTGTCATCTTTTATTCTTAATTATATACTAATTAGGGTAAAACAAAGAGGGTTTGAATAAAGAAAATAGAAAGAACAAGAGAAAGAGAGAGAAGGGAATCGATAGAGATAGAGACGATCGAGAAGGGGAAAAAACACAAAGACTTTGGGAAAAATATGCTTGCTTGAT